TAAAACTTAAATGTAATTTAATAAATATTTTAATTTTTCGTGAGTCTTCGTTATACATATTTCACTTGCCATGGATTTGTTATTCCGATTCGTACTATGTGTACAGTAGAATTGTGTTAGAAAAAAAAACTACGTTAGGCAACTAAACATTTATCTCGACCGATGTATTTATTCAATTTATATAAGGCGTGGTGTAGATTTATTGCCTATTTGTCATAATTAGGGCTTGAATGCTCTAAACAAATTTAATACATAAAATTCCATAAATTGACTTGTAAGTAAACATATTTTTTTATTTTAAATACTATTAAATAAAACCATTTAGAAATTCTAAAATTGAATATATTAAAAACTGAAAAATAATTAAAAATACATGTTTAAAATGAATAGGGTATTTTATTTACTAATTAGAGGGCGTATCCATTATTGAATATTGTTATATATTTATGTATATTGTTACAGTGGCGTATCCAGGGGGTTAGGGGTTATAACCTTCCCGAAAATGTTTAATGTATGTATATCGTCTATTGATTATAATAAAAATACGCAAAAATCAAAAAAAATGTAATGTTATATTTTTTAAACCCCCCCCCCAAAAAAAAAAAAAAAAAAATTCTGAATACACCACTGTATTGTTAAATATATTACATTTTAAAATAATACGAATCAATGGCACTTACAATTTTATACTTAATAAATTGTTAAAATATATAAGATTTTAAACATTTCACTGAAAACATTTGGAGTAATATTTTATATTTATTTATGGAAAATGTTCATATTAAATAATTTTAAAAAAATAAATACTTAACCATTTACAGACTTGTGAATTACATGCGCCACTGATTGAAGATTTTGTATGTTTACATGTTTATTCATTTTTAAAAATATGGTTCATTCAATTTTGTTGCGATAATTTATATGAAATAACTAGATACAGAAAGTTGAAAATTTTTTAAAAGCGAAAAAAAAATCCTCAACACAGAATATTAATTCTTAAATTTATTTTTCTAAAAACAAAAAAAAAGTGATATCGTTTTGAAAATTATCAAACCTGACATGAAGTGTAAAAACTATAAACTAAACTAATAAAACTAATAATGAGTAGAATATTAAGTTTAGTGTGATAAAATAAAGCAAATTATGACTAAAGAGTTAACTGTTCTGTTATCTAATAGAAAAATGATATATAATTTTCTATAAACATAATAAATTAAAAAAAAGACTGAGCGCCTGAATATTACGAACAAATATATTATAAAAACGCAAAACAATTCAAAATAAAAATGTTATATTATTTAGAACTATTAAACTGATTCTAATCTAATCAGTAATTATAATTGTTATTTTTACGTAGGATTTGAAGATAAAATACAAAATTCATCAACATTAATATCAAAATCTGGTATTAATGAATATATAATTTTCACTCCTAAATAAAACCAAAATTCTAAAGTTATTGTGTGTGCACTAATTACAATTATTAATTATTAAACGCTTCTAATGTAATGATTATACCTATTTGACTTACATGTAATATTAAATAAGTCACAATATGTTTGGGTTGGTTTACAGTTTTTTAATAAATGATTGATCTACCTCTAGACTTATGATAAAGATACGTAATTTCAAGCAGGTGAGAATCGTTGATTTTACAAAAATTTATACTTATTTCATTTAGGTTTTATTTGGTTTTTTTTATATTTTGAAGTATTATTACTAAAGTCAAAAAGTTAAAAAAATACTCCAAAGTGATGACATGGTATTATAAAAATAAGTTTATTTTTTATATGACTGTAAAAAATTTTTCAAAAATAAAATGATCAGGATTCGATAACTAATGAGATTTCTGAAATTCTAAATATTTTATTTTAACAGAGCCATGTTTTATTTTGTACGTTTGAGTTGAGAATTGAGCGATACAATAGTAATATACGACTAGATATTTTGTATAAATATTGGAACTTAGAGCTTAGGTAGTTCCAAACGGTGTATCCGTTTTTCGAACAAACGGAGGGTATAATCTGCATTTCTTTATGTTATTAGACAAGGAATATGCAAAAAAAAGAAATTGAATATTTATGAAAAATACTATCGTTGTTCTATATTTTTATGTATTCTAGAACAGTGGCGGGAGAAAATAACAAAAAAAATGCGTACACAATAAAAGTGAAATAATCGTCTTCGCATTGCGCATTTTTTCGGGCCAAAAATTAACGTTGTTTTATCGCGGGATTATGCGCGTTATATTGTAAATAATCCCCGGGACTCTTCGCACTCCTGGACACCGTCCAAAGGATAATACTAGCCCGAGCATTCCTGCGAACGGGTTTCCCTCTAGATTAATCACGTACACCTTTTCGACGCTATATTCCATGCTCGCGCGTGTGTGCGTAAGCGCACCAGCGGAGGACGAACTCCTCGGAATCTTTTTCGGCGCGAAGAATTAAATTAAGACACTTGCAATGCTGTATTCGAATCTCTCTCCTCTCTCTCTCTCTCTCTCTCTGTACACGGTGCATACGATTTTTCTCACCTGTAACATATTATATATATATAAATCTACAGTGATGTGATGAAGAGATTTTTACGATAACTAAGCGTCATTTTTATAGATGTATTACTTAAGAATATTGTGTGCAGATTATTTTAGAACAATTAGAATAACCTTGATATAGATTAATCGCATTTCGCAATCAATCGAAGAATACGAATTGTGCTGATCTAGTTAATAAAACATTAGTATATAAGGGAAATCGATATGTTACTCGAGGCCTCACTTCTCACTTATAAAGACTAAAGTAATCCACGTGTGAAGAACTGCAGTCTAAACTTTCCTTGTGTAAAAATGATGAAAGTGTTACACAGTAATTCAAATCGTCGTTGTTTTATTTAATTTAATTAATCTAGTTAGCCTACCTTCGACGGGCTTACTATAATGGTATAGTTTAGAGTAAGGTTCGTGTGATTAGATTTACAAGTGTAAAGAATTTGGATGCGTACACGCATAGAAAATTTCCAAGTTCAAACATTTAGCTAACATGAAACTAGAGTTTGCTAATCCTAAGTTTGAGTTGGTAAGACATGAGTAGGTTTAGGTACTACGATCTTTAATAGTTCTTAGTTATCTGCAATTTATGTTTTTGAGAACATTTCAAGAAGGGTGGTGCGCTAGAGACAGAACAGGGTAGGGAGGTAGGTACTGAAACGTATGTTGCGGATCATGGTTTATAAATGTTCGCCATTCAGTATACGTACATATATTTGCATAACTACACGCGCACGAAACGCGTGTACGAGTGCAGGCCCACACACACACGGCTTGTCCGCGACAGAATAACGTCGCCAAATCGCTGTGATATAGTATTGTGCCGGTGATTATCGCGCTCCCGGGCCCATTGTTCGTGCGGTTTGTACGCGTGTACACGCGTTGTGATGTAGGTGGTGCTCGAGTTAATTATTTCACTCGATACCGTACGTCTTGCGTCGCGTGAGCACATTACTCATTTGTGACATTTTCGGTCTACTAAATTGTTTGTATACACACACACACACACACACACACACACACACACACACACACACACACCCTTGAACAAAATATGTTTTTTGTTGTTTCTTTTAAAAATATTTTAAACATAAAACACATTTTTCCCCTTGTTCAAATCCATGACGTCCGCGGAACTATGTGGGTTTACCGCGTCGTAATCAACGATTGCACTGGTTTTCAATGAAACTTTCAACGACAATTATTACAAAGTTTCCCGACACTTGCATTTGTATGTTTCCCAAAGTCTTGTACAAAATTGCAACGATCTATTGCTCGCATCCAATCGTACGTTTTACATGGCTAATTCATGTAATAAAGTAAAATAAAAATTCTCGTACGTTGTCGGTTTGTAGAATGGTTTTCTTTGCAGACACGATAAAATTATCGTTTTTTTCTCGATCCGTTAAAAATCCAACTCGATTATCATTGTTAAGTTGACAGCTAACAATGTTAAGTTTCATTACTATAATGGCATTAGGATAAAACCTGATCTCGAATTTATGTATTAATAAGTGTATAGGGACACATATTATTTTTACACAGGTAACAAATCATTTAACTAAAACAAGTTAATATACTTTTCAATTGTAAATAGATGGATTGATAGCGTTATGTACATTTTTGAGGGGTTTTATGTAGGCAATTTGAACACGTTATTTTAAAACTATGGAAATAATTGTAATTTTCAATTGCTTCCAGTCTCTATTTTTAGTGAAACCCAACATAAAGTGTGTAGTCTAAAACTTGAAGTGTGGACTACGGATTCGAGAAGTGTGTACCTACTAAAAACAAATAATTAACGCTACTATGAAGGTATTTTTCAGGAAGCTAGTTTGAGCAAGACAGCTGATGAGGAGTTAAATATATCTATTCAATTTTAAATTATACACCTCACATTAAAATAAATAATTTATAAATAGTTTTCAGATTCATAACAAAAGTAACCTAATTATAATGTGCAATTTGATTAATAAAAAAGAACTACTAAAAATCATTACTAACATAGTACTAAAAATTATAATCATATGGAAGGGGGTAGGAGAGGCTCTGTATCATATCATTGTACATTAAAAAATGTGTAGTACGAATTTTTATGAAAAATAGGGACTGATTGCTTCTATAATAATAGTAATTTTAATTATTAAGAAATTACCTTAACGAAAACCTTTTGAAAAACATTTTGCATTGATTTATGTGTTTATTCAAAAAATATTTTAAGTTAGAATATAGTTTGTAATGTAAAATAAGGATTACATCTGATGTAGTTTTTTTTTCAATTATTGAGCTGAGTTATTTCTTATGGATTATAAATGTATTGATACTTCGTGTACTTAATATAAATAATTAACAAATTTAAAAAAAGACAAACTATTTGTGTGTTATTATTTATTATACATACAAATTAATTATTTAAAACAAATAGGTATATTATAATAAAATATTCAAAATAATTACCGAGGTGAGTATCAAATGTTGTATTCACATTATTACATAGCACATATCTTAGTATTTATAAAGTATACTTGTTCATTTATTTTCGAAATATGAGTTCCACCATGTCTAAAATGTGATAAACCTAAAATAGAAATAATTTTTCTTAAATTTGAAGCATAGTTACAATTATACTATTATTTCAGTAGGTATTTTATTGTTTAGGAAAACATTCTTTAAGTAACAATTTTACATATGGTAGAAATATGTGATGTTTTTTATTAGTTACACAAAATATTAATATTATCATCAATTGTTTAGCAGAATACAATATATGTGAAACTATTATATCTTTCAAATTAATTCAATTCTTTATGCTAAACGTGTCAACTACATTTGTAATAAAATCTAATTACACATCAATTGAAGGAAAAAAATTGTGGTAAATTGATTGAAACAGTTTTTTTTTTTTCAAAACATTTTATGTCCCATCTAAAATTAAGCTTAAGTTATTATATATATTTTTTTTCATAATGTGTTATTTCCTGTAGATTGTTTTTTTAAAATGTTCTATAACGACTTTCCAGAAAAATATGCTATTTTCTGTACTAAATTATAGATCTTACTTCTCATATTTTCCAAAACTTGGTACATTTATAATTTTATTCATAACGTGTTATTACCCATAGTATTGATACAGCAATGAAACTACATTTTATACAAAGGGTACTAATGCCAATATCAGCAAATCTTTTAAATTAAAATCATATTATTAATTTGTATTAAAATATGAATTGGTTTAGTACAAAACCCACGATTATAAATAGAAAAATAATATGAAAGTCAACATAAAATAATTATACTATAAGGCTTATCCATATCCATATGATTGTATGTAATTTCTCACCTAAGTTCATCGTACCTGTTTTTAGCTTCTTTATGAGAGTACTAAAAGCTGTATTGACGTTACCGTAAATATTTGTAAGCTCATTACAATGTAATTTCCATGACCAATAAATGCAATAATTAATATACTTAAATTAATAAAGTGCTATATTTAAAATATATTCATCATATTTTCAATATTAATATCAGTCATAAAAACTGGATATAAGATTTTCTTGAAGAACAAAAAAAAAATAATAAAATAAAGTTTCAGAAATGATTTACAGGCACAACAAAATTAAATTTTTATGAAATCAGATAATTCAATGAATCTATTGAACAACATAAGGTTTTCAGTAAGACAATTCATAGTTTCAAAATATTTTAATGAAGTTTATGTTGTTTATATATAATAAATATTTGATTTTCTAAGATTTTAGAAAATGTTTTACTTGCTTGAGTTAGAAAATAAAATAATTTTCAATCATTTTTATTAAAAAATTTAGTTATTCTACTAAATCAACAATCTTTAGAAATATAAACTGATTAATTAAATCTCATTCACTCTGAATCATTTTTTGAGAGTAATGGTATCCATTGATTTAATGTTTTAAGATCACCACATTTATAACATTTACTCATCCTTGTATCTCACCTGACCTAGGAGGTCTTTTATTTCATGAACATACAAAATACACAGTTATTTGTCAATAAAACTCAACATTTATTTAATTTTATTAGAATTTTAAATAAATATTTATTTTAATATGGTAATGCCCCCATGAAGTAATTTATTTAATACTTTAGTACATCAATAAAGATATTTTAATCATTTACCAGGTATAAATATTTTGTTACTAATGTTCTTAATGTGGTACTTGCCAAGTATATATTAGTTTTTTTTATAGTTCAACCGAGGAACTGGGAAGGAAATATTTTCACATTTTTTCTTTCTAGCATTTTATTCACCATATATTCCTTACTCAAGACTTTCAAGAAATATAAATAAAAAATAAATTATCAAAAAAACTTAGAAAAATTGCATTTCAAATATAGTAAATATATTTTATTGATATAAAATGTTAATTAAAGAATGTAATGTAGCTTTGGGAAAATATATTACTAAAAAGAAATGTAGTTATTATTATAAATTATAAATTATAATTTACGAGTATACTTAAATTTCAATTTAGATATTTTTATGATGGTGTTTTTTTAAGCAATAGGTAATAGTAATAAAAATAAATGAAATTAAAGCGGTTTAAGAAATTTTAATCCTTTAATAAATACATTGTTAGTTTTAATAAAAATTTTAACATTTAAGTTTTAAAGATTTTGTACTTAAAGAAAACAATTGCTTAAAAATGTATTTATTTATTTATAGTTGATTTGATTATTATATTAGAACTTTTATTTAAACTTTTTTAAACTTTATTATATATTTCATTAATTATAATAACCCGATATGCTATATAGAAAATAAATAAATAAATAAATGTCATACTTATATATTTAGAGTAATTTATATAGTATAATTTATTGTTCTTTAAAAAAATCTTGATTAGTGTTCAGAGCAAAAATTGTACAAAATAGATTAATGAAGTGATTGGTCAATATTTTATATTACAGTATTTTTGATTAATAGAAACAATGAGAGCATACATTCTAATCATAGAATATTATTTACCTATTTTTACTTCAAGATAATTTTTTGAATAGTTATTTATTTAATTTAACAAATTAAAAGTTTTGAAATCTAAACTAAATAAAACATATCCCAGGGGAAGACCATATCAGCACTGGCTAGATTGGGTAAAGATTTAATTCTAATAGATAAAATAGCAATAATTGAGGATGCAGACAACAGAGACCGATAAAGGGGTTTAGTAGAAGCAGCGAAAACCTTAATGGTCTATAGAAGCTAAAGTAAAAATTTTTTTTTTTTTTTGTAATAATAGAAAATTGAAAGTGAAAATGAATGGATAAATATTATTTTTTAGTAAAATAGATTTAATCAAGAATAATTTTGATTTATAGTTTTTTAAAAATATTTAAACTTATGGTAATCTTTAGAGCAATACATTAATTTGCTAAGATCGTTTGAAATTAACTTTATAAAAATCTAAATTAAGTTGTAGTTTGTTTTAATTAGTGGGATAAAAAATATAATAAAAAGAAACAGTAATTCAGACTCTCACTTAATGAAATTACTGTTATAAGTTCTTCCATTTTTTTTGTAATAAGATTTATTTAGACGATTGTTAGAAATAATTTGCTTTACATAGAATACAGATATTCAATAAATATGAACTCATAAAACCTACCTACTAAAATAGAAGTTATATGTGACTCGTATAAATAATTTTTCAAAAAAAGTCAACAAAATCAAAGAAATTTACAAACAAAACTTATTTAATTACCCATTATGAGATAATAAGCAGCAGAAATGTATTCACCGAGAAACTCTAGATATTATAATTCAAAAATAAAAAATATTATTTTCAATAAAATTTAAATCAGTTGTAATATTTTGCTTTCATTTATTAAGTTATACATTTAAGGTTTAATTACCTAATAAAAAATAACGAATATACTAATGAATCATAAATTATACTTTTTTGATATATATATAATTGTAAGTTACAAAAATAAAAGTAGTACCTACAAGAATGTTTTGATGAAATACTTAGAAGTTTGAATTTCTAGATATGCAATAAATATTAAGATAATATTAAATAATAATAACGCAAAATGGACCACTATTCAAAGTATAACTGTGTAACTGAATTACATGTATAACAATATTTATTTTTAATTGTATATTTACTTTAAAGCAAGTAATACATTTCAGTTTTATTTTTAGTACAAGCCAACTTAATTTAAAATATACTCAGAACTGTAAATTTATTACTATACATACACAAAATTGACTTAAAAAACAGTAAATTTTCAACGTGTAAAGATTAATGATTACACTAGGTATCTCAATAAAATATTAATCAATGGATGGCAAATGAAATAAAATGAATAATATTCATAAATCAATATGCGTTTTTATATTTAATTAAAATCAAACACTATGTAACAAACAAATATTATAATATTGTAAGAATAATATTTAATACCTATTGAAGTTAAAACTCAAATATTTTAGAAATGTATAAACTGCTGTGTTGGTACACTCTTACTTATTCCTTTCGTTCTTCAGCTGCTATCCAACCTTTTGGTCGTTGGTCATAAATGGTCCAATTTCTATATGGTGTATAGAAATCACCGTGTATAGATTTACGATTTAAGGAAACTGGGAAGAACTCGATGTCGTTGAGCTTTGCATACTTCTTGACAGCACCCGCAATAGCAAATGAAACACCCATCCATGTTCCGAACATGTATCGTTTAATTAATGCACCAGTAAAAATACCAGTAGTAAATCCACCAATCGCATAATTCATTTCATCATCTTTTTCTCGTAATTTTGTGGACACATACGTCACCGTACAGAATGATGCCGCGGCAGCGTACATGGGGCCCATAAGTTGACCATACCTATGAACCAATTAAAATGATGAGCGCCTGTTAGATACATTGCACAGTAGTCCTGTATAAATTACACACGGCAATGGGATTAATATACTAACCTGTAAAGGGTGTTCAAGTATCCGATCGGTTTGCTGATCAAGATGATTTCTGATGTCGCCAATCCGAATCCTAAGATCGATACGTTTTTGGCAGCGAACACCAATTTCTTATGGAGGTCCTTTCCGTCCGGAGTATCGTAATACGAATACCTATACAACGACGTCATGGCTGTCGGGCAACAGAGTCAGGCGTTTCGTCGCTTTACTTCGGTTCCTTACAAACGAGCCTCTCAATCAAAACGACAAACGATTTTCACTCTGGTGCCGTGGGGAAATTATATTAATAATAATATTTGCTGTAAACGTTCGATCTCGGCAATTGCGGTTGTGATAAAACGAACATATGATAGCGTGCGGAAAATGATAACGGTGTTGAAGGGCATCAGCCGTGGAAAGGCTACCAACGTTACGCTAAAATTACGTGTCTTCGCGGTGAAAACTACGCGGTACAACCGTCGGCGCTTCGAACACACCCGTCCGGTTGGCAACGTCAGTAAAAAAAATATATCACTTTTCTCATCACTGGGGCTCGGAAGTTGATGCATTTTGCATTTTTTTTTTTTTTTTTGGAACTTTTTAGACGATGTTTTGGCCAAAAAGTCGTTTTTCGACATTTTTCCAAATGTTTAGCCATTTTTACTGATTTCATACTAGTTCATTTCTTGTCGTTTATTGTCGACCATTATGTCGAAGATTTGTTCGATTTTATCTCGCCGATTAAAGTCGTCGCGTCGTTGTCGTATTATAGTGAATAATACCTATTATATCTAAATTTTATTATTTTTTCGTAATATTTTCGAAATGGCGAGAATTATAGACGTTGTCTACGTCTTCCAATCACTGCAGTGAACGTAGAGAGAAGTATTTCCAGTTATAAAAATTTATAAATAGATAATCGTCGTTCATTTACTTTTGATAACATCAAATACGCTCTAATTGTATAATGTAATAATTTTGATTTTTAAGTAATTTGTAAACTTTGATACATTTATAAAACAAATATTTATAATTTTTTTTAGGTCATTTTTTTTTATTTTATTTGTTTTATTTCATTCATTTTATTTGTTGTCATTTTTATGTCATATTTTGAGTAATTTGTAAGTTTTTATAAATTTATATAGAATGTTGTAGTAAAATGGAGTAAAATATGTAAAAAAATGTATTTTTATTAATTTAAAACAAATATTTGTAATTTATTTAGGTCATTTTTAAATGTTTTAAAGGTCATCAACTTCCGAGCCTTACTCATCAATAACTTTTCAATTTCATTACGGTCCTGACTAGAACACATTTTAAGTAATTTTCACTGGTGGGCACTTTAATAAAATTGTCTACCAGAGAACATACAGGGAAAATCAACTCCTGTCTTACGGTCGTTTTGAGAATGAGTTGGCTAGTGGCACGATCACCCATCACTGGGTAGCATTAAATTACAATTGAGGGATACTAGTGTCACGAACTTAGTTAAATTATGCTCTGGTATTCTGTATTACCATTTTAACCTACTTACAAATAAGATAATGTAAGTACCTACCTATGTACAAGACTAAGCAACGAGGTGTTGCCTACCGGAACATTATATATAAATACATATTATGTTTATAAGTATATAATACACATTATGTATTATAATATATTATTATATTTTAATATTTAAATATAGGTAATGATAGTTTAGTAGAATTTCCATACAATGGTTAATAAAGAAACTGGAAGTAATAACTGCTATTTAGGTGAATGACCTATAAAGGTGACCGGTAACAGAAATTATTGAAATTGTATTTATTTTCCAGGTGACCGCTATACAGAGTACATGTAAATTTTAAAAATAAAATACCAAATAAATAACGCATATGAATATTGGTAATAAAAAATGTTTTTATGATTTAAGATTTAATGTAGATACAGTTTAAAATTATTAAAATCTTGTATAAGTTTTATAAATATTAAAATTTAAGTATATTAGTTTTTTTTAAGTTATATTATATTATAAAAACAATTTTTTTTTAAATAAATTTGTGTGGTTTATAACATATTATAGCCATCTACGTCACCTTTTTAAAGAGTGAAAGCTGTTAATTGTTTTATTTGATTGATATCAGAATAGTTTAATTCATTGCACTCAGATTCTTCAATTTCTCTATTTGTTTCCTCTTCGTCATTATACTTTGTTATGAATGACTTGATATTAGTATTATCTTCTTCATTCTCACATTTTTATAGACAAAAAAAAACTATTCAAAAAATACTGACACGAAAGCTACTATTATAAACATATTTGTTATTATTGATATTTCGCATGCTTCTAAAATTGATAAACTTAATCTATGGCTAAGTAATGTATATAATCAGCAAATGGTTGTTCTTTTAGTATAAGTTCTTGTAAACCGTTATACATACCTATAAACAATAAGTTTTATTATAATAAGAAAAGTATACTTTTATAATAAAACAACTTGACATGTTAGAACTTCCATCATAATCTTGGCCTCTCAGTTTAGCTAAACTTAAATCAAAAACGTTTTTTTTTCGATATAACTTTTTTAATAGATGTGCCTGCTATTGAAAATAATTCGGTGAATTATGAAAAATGTTCTTTAATTACTTATTTTTTCTTGTTCATGTATCTGAATAAAAAATAATTGTTATATGTTAGAATTCAAATTTTTGATAAATAAATTATATAATATATAAAAATATTTAAGAATTATTCACACACCAAATTTATTATATACCTACATACATCTTTTTTCCGACCAATATGGGTATATGCGATTAAATATGCGATTTAAATTAGGAGCTGTGCTATATCGTCCCAAACTCGCACTATATAAGCAATCTAGTCAATTACTTATAGCATAATTACCTTCGCACCTTGATGTTATCCAATTCCACCAATCAATTACCAAATGTAATTGTTTAAATTATTATTATAATAAACACTAGCTTAAAAGAAATCTACACTAACATATATGATATTTATCTATAGAAACGTTTAAAAATGTCCATATGATTGTTTTTGAAAAAAGATTTCTTTAGTTTTATAATCTGACGCGACCAGATAATAACTACATTCTGACCAATGCATTTTGTCACGTTATAGACATTATTTGTAGTGCATATAACTCTTGTATTTATTCGCTATTTAAAATCGTATTTTTTATTGAAATAACATTTATATCCGGAATTAGAAAATTCCACAATGGCGTTCACCAGTGTTTTCTATAAGGTCTACGATTTTATCCAGCGCATTTTCACAACTCTATGTCAAGTGCTGAATATCTTCATAACATTTCATGTTTCTCCAGTGCAATGTCATAAGGTAATGTAAAAATATTAATAGTTATACTCAAAATGTAGATGTCCCAAATACTATTATAAAAATTTAAGACGCTTTATTATTGAAGCATCAATTTGGAAATTAATCTAGCATAAATAATTGATATATTTTTCAATAAACAAAATTGGTAAAATCTAATTCACCGCGTTTTCATTCAAAACGTCATTTCATCGTTTATTCTAATCATTAAACGTGGTTTATCTTTTCGCGTAGTGCATAAATGACTGTATAGACGGACTTGAACCACCGACTCAACAAGTCGCCGACAAACGAAAATCTTCGACAGAAGAAATCAACGGAGGAGTCACGGAATCGTATGCCCGGAATACAGTTGTCGACAGTCGATCACCAACACCGATTGAACTTCTGGTGAATACCAAAACGGCAGCGACCGATGTATTGCCGCCTACCCCGGAACGTCCGGTGTTCATCAAACCGGTGGATGAAGTCCAGATAATCCTACCGTCGAAACAAGTGCAGGGTGAAATTCGTTTTATCATGAACAACCTGAGCAAGGCGAATCACCAAGCGAAGGTAAGAACGCGTCCGATCACTTGTTCACATTATTTGTATACCATTGTGTAGACCAGGAGTGGCCAATTCAAATGACCTTGCGGGCCACTTTGGAAATACATTACGAACCCGCGGGTCACATAAAATTATATTTTGTTTCAATACAAAAAAATTTGGAGTAAACATTTTAAACAGGATTAAATATTATTATTAAATAAGTTTTAGTGTATTAATTATTTGAAATAAACAGAATGAATTATTATTGTTTTTATAAATTTAATCTAATTCTTTTAAGAACTCTTTAAATTGTCGGTGCGGAAGATCGAATGTAATTCACCGTTTTTATGACTAACATGGTTCATTGTCTACAGATGCTCGGGAACAAAGATTTTGTTGATGAATCAAACAGTTTGTTGCGATTATGTTGTTAATAATACGGCTTCCGCGTTGTGCGGGCGTTCTAAAATATTTTATTAGAACAAAAATAATTTTTTTTTTTGTTAATGTTTGATAAAATCGTGGGTCTCAAACATTCCAAAGTGAGCCACATGCCAACATGGTTTGGCCATCCCTGGTGTAGACCAAGTGTTTCCATTGTGATTTCCGTATTTATTCATAAGAGTAAATGTACAGCTAAATCGTTGACAAAATAATTTTGTCAACAACTAACCTTCTTTCGTGCGTTGTAATTGGGCATTGCAGTGTGGACAGATAAAACGTCTGATCAACAAAAATCACCTGCCCTGGTTTTCGAGGCACGTAATCATGGGACGGGTGAAGAACGAATTAAATTTCCACGATTTGTACTCGAGCTGTTTGGACTGTTGGAACAACGAACTATTGAACTCGCTAATACTGGAGGACACCTTGAAGAAAGTTAAAGTAAATATCCACACAAATATTTCGTGTTTGTTATTGTGTAGTATTATAATCAATTATAACAATTATCACGCGATTAAACATTAACTTTTTTACTAACAACATAGTAATATTTTGTATTGTGTACTGATGGAATATTATTATGTAAAATTTATGATTTTAGATCCTGTTAGGAAGAAACAAAAGAATCCCAAGCCATTTTGATAAACGGCTGATCATAAACCTAGGTCATTGGTTGGGTATGATCACTCTGGGGAAAAATAAACAGCTACCAAAGGAAGACGTCGACTTGAAACGTCTGTTGACCGAATCGTACGGGAGAGGCAACGAGCAATTGATTTTCGTTGTACAGTTTATGAGTAAAGTACTCGAATCTTGCTCAGAGGGAAGGTTTAGTGTGAAAAATAGCTGGACGATTTCTATGATGAACAGTCTGTTCGAACTTTACGAGAAACCTGATGTGAAGCTGCAAGTTCGAATTGAAATCGAAATACTATGTAAAAAATTAAACATTAAGCTTGAGTTTAATCAATAGCACACAAATTATACTGAAGAGTATTTTAAAATAATTACAAACATATCAATGATAAAAATCTGATGGA